CTGACCCGTCCCGGGGCTCCCTGGGGGCACAGAGGGACGTGGGCACCCGAGGGGATTCTGCTGGATGTGCTCCTCCTGCCAGAGGGTGCAGAGCCCCACACACCGCACAAGGGCAGGGCTGAAATAGCTGCAGACCTGCCGAGAGAATCAGGTTCTGAGCCACATCAGCCCTGCCTCAGTTTCCCCATCAGGGCACTGCGAGCGATCCGGGCTGTGTGAGTGCTGCAGGTGCAAGGTCACTGCTGGAAGAGCAGGGCAGGGGCTTTGCCCCCTCTCTGTTCTCAAAGCCAGCTCACCCAGCACCCTGCAGCCCCCACAGAGGTGCTCACATCCAGCCTGATCCCTTCCAGCCATGGGGCTCAGCACAACCTGTCTGCAATTTGCTGGGGCACCTCCAGCCCATCAGGTATAAAACACTACAGAAATCAGCATCACAGAGCAAGGAGTCCCTGAGCTGTCCCCAAGCCCTGCCGTGTGTAGTGCCAGGCTGCCCCAATGCCATCCCCATCCCATCCCCACCAGGGACCTGCTGTCCCAAATAGATCTCCCTGTCCGAGTGTGGTTCCCAAGGGGTTTCCCATCCATGTGAAGTCCCGGGTGCATGTTTGGGAACATGGTTTTTCCCAAACTTTGGAGGTTCATTCATTGCTATGCAAGGCGAGTCCATTCCCTACCCTCCTCCATCCTGTTCCCCCTTCTCCCCCCTCACCACTCACACCATCCCAGCCCAGGATGTTAAAATGGGCTGAATTTTTTCACGATGAGAGGGGAAAAAATTTTTAGAAATCTGGGGATGAAGAGAGAACCCATGAGCTGTGACCTCCTCCAAATTCAAGGCACCAAATCCACACAAGGAAAACAAAAGGCAGCGAGATTAGCATTTCCAAACAGAGCAGAGATGGCCCCAATCTTTGAGCTGTTTATTCTAGGGTTGATTTTCAATATTTAGGATGATTAGCAAGTGAAAGCCGGCTGTTGCCAGAATGGCTCCATGCCAGCCCCACACTCAATGGAGGGAAAAGAAAGACACGGCAAGAAAGGGAGAGAAAAGAAGGGCTTATGTGTATATTTTTTCTCCCTCTGTGAACGGGAGATTGGTTTGAGGTGTCCATGTTTGCCCATCAGGGATGGATGATGGATGAGGGGACGGCTGGAGAAATAGCAGAAATAAATAATAAAGGAATCATTGCCATGTGCTTAATAACCAGCTGGGGAAGGACCTCACTAGGACAGCGAGCCGAGCTTGCAGAGAGCTTTTGGAGCTGGGTTCTTCCCAGACCCCCTTTGCTGGGTGCTGGTGGATGCCCCAAAATGCAGCCAGCTCTGGAGTGCTCTGGTTCATTGCTTGCAGCAGGGGGACACTCCCAGCACGGGGTCCCCTGTTGGGGAAGATGAAACAGGAAAGCCTTATAAATATGATTGCCTGACAAACGATTTTGAGAATATAGAAACTATAAGCAAGATTGAAATGAAAGCAAGCTTTGAGATCCCTTAGTTACTGAACAACAGGAAAACAATGGTGTGGCCAGCTGAAGGTAATCTCCTTTTGATGGAACAACACCCTCTGCTTGCAGACAGCTCCAAGGGTCAGAGCAGACCCTACAGCTTGGCAGAAGGGGCCCAAAGAGGAGTTTTTAGGGTTTAAAATATAACACAGTATGGTAATCTGGTGATTCTTATAGGCTGTATGTAAATGCTATAGAATTTGTATATTGTACTAGATTGGTTAGTGAGAATCAGAATATTCAACACAGAAGAAGATTTATTGTATTGTAAGGAGAACCTCACTCTCTTACCCTCGCATCCTCTCTCCCCCTCTCTCCTCTCAGGCCTGCTCTGAGCTGTGGCTGGCAGCTCCCAGCAGGGCCCTGCACCCAGGCCCTTTGCAATAAACCCCAAGTTCCACAACCTGGCTTCAGAGATCTCTCGTCTCCATCCATCCCCACCATCCTACCCCCGATGCTCCGACAGTCCCCAGCCCATCCCTGCCCCTGTGCCGGGCGAATCGCGGGGCTGGAGCAGCCCCAGCCCCGGCTCAGCCCCGCTGCCACCGGCAAGCCCGGGCAGGCCCCGGCTGCCGGGTCCCGACCTCGCTGCTGGCACCGAGCACAGCCGCGCTTTGTGCCCCGCGCCCCTGCGAGGCGATGCCACCACCCGGAGCAGCCCCGGCTCCTGCACCTCCTGGCTGCCGCTCGGAAAAACACCACCCCCTCCGAGCTATCTCACCCAAAGAAAGGAAAATTCACGTCCAAGTCGGTTTGGTTGCTTTCAGCTGCTGAACAAAACGGGGTTGTTTCAGGCCTCGCCTAGTGCCTCCTTTATATTCACCCTTTCTCACTTTAAACCCCTCGGCTGGCTCTGGCAGGCTGGAATATTTTTTCCTGGCAAGGTTGTTTTTTTAAGTCCCTTGGCAGGGTGGGGATACTGGAGGCTTCTCTTTTGCAGGGGGTTTGAAAACAGTACTACGTGTTTGTGCCTGGCAAAATAAACTGAAGAAGTGGTCTGAGGGGCAGGGAAGTGCCAGCTTTTTGCAGCCCTGAAGTGCCACCAGTTCTGGGGAGGGAAGAAGGGAGCAGCTCTTCCAACAAGGAGCTGAGAGGAGGAGAAGCCAGGACAAGGAATTCCTTAATGCCTTCTGGTATTCATGGCCCCCAATACCCCAAAGCTGAAAGGAAAGCCCAGATCTGCCTCTAAATTCCCCCCCCCCCCCCCCCCCAGACACATCAAAGCTGCTCCCCAGGGATAACCCCACCTTTTCCCAAGGTCAGCATCCTGCCTTCCCAGCACAAACCATACACAGACTAAGGCAAGGGTCTGTCCTGAGCCCAGGCCTTATTTTGGGTTGAGATTGGGAGCAGCTGTAGCAGCTCTGGGACTGCCTGCTGCTGGGGTGCCTGGTGCTGAGGGATCCAGCAGATCCCTGGGGAGCTGAGAGGGTGCTCCTCATGTGCTCCCCAGGAGAAGGGGGCTGTGTCCTCAGGGCAAGAGGGTTGGGACATGCAGGAGTGGGTGCCCCAAAGCTGGAGCAGCCCCAGAAGGCTCTGGAGGGGGATCTCTGTGCAGCTTCTCTCCCCACCCTGCACCCAAAGGGGCTCTGAAGCCACTTGGGCATCCTGGAGCATCTACAGGGCCAGGTGGAGACACAGCACAAGCAGAGGGACCTGCCAGCCCCAGGAGCTCCCTGCAGGGCCAGGGAAGGTTATTCCCAGGGTTGGAGCAGCTCCCAGGGCTCAGGACACCAGGCACAGCCAACCTTGTGTCACACAGGTGGTGTGTAAGCATTGTCTCACTGAGGTTGGTTTGTGCCTCAGTTTCCCCACAGGGAATTTGCACAGTTGTGCAAGTGGGTGAGAGCTCCTGTGTGCTGGGACTGGGTTTACAAACAGGGCTGGGCTGGGGAAAGGAAACAAAGAGGCAAAAGGGGTTTTTTCTTCTCCATTTTTTTTCTTTATTATTATTTTTTTTAAATTTGTAAATAACTTTGCATGAAAAAGTTAAATTGCACAAGTATCTCTGTAGTTCTCCAACATAATCCCCAAAGCAGGAAAACAGAAGAAAAACAGCAAGTAAAAAGAAACACTGTCAATACAAACAACTACACAGACCCCAAAGCCCCTCCTAAGTGCTTTTGCAACCAAAACAGAATCTAAATACAATCTTCAATTTCTTTTGCCAAATCTAAGACACACCACTAAAATTCCAGCTTCTACTTGCTCCTACCTAAAGGCTGCTCTACCTCTCACAGCCTACAGCAAAGCAGAGGCAAAGAATCTGGTTCTTGAGAGCTTCAAGTCAAGTTTCAGCAGAGTTTGGCTCTGCTCCCAAAGTATTTCCAAGTTACCTTGCACCAACCCCACCACGCTCTCACTGCACACCAAGCCAAAGGGCCCAAAGCTCCTCTTTGTGTGGATCCCAAGGTCTCCCCTGGCTGGATGGGACTTCATTCCCACTGCTGTCCCCTGTTGCATGCAGAGTCTTTGGCCTGAGCTCCTGGATGGAGCCTGGATGTGGATTTCTCTCCTCCTCAGCCCCAGCTGGGAGCGTTCAGTGGCTCCATCACCATCAGCTGAGGACCAGCCATGGGGTTTTCCTTGCACTCAGAGCCTGATGGAAGAGCTGGAGAAGTGAAGAGCAACAGTCTTGGACCAAAAAAGCAGAGAGGGGCTATGTCAGTGGGTGAGAGAGAGGGTCCATGGTGCTCCAGACCCTTTGGCAACTGCAGCAAGGGTTTTGGGTACAGAAAATACAAAAGCTGGTTTTGGGAGCATCCCTGTCCCTGCTGCTCCTCTCCTGCCAGGGCCAGCTCCTGGATTCTTCACAAAACCTGGTGGTGCAGGAGTCCTCCCTTGTGTGGTCTTGTTTTACAGAACAGTGAACACAAAACCTTTAAACAGTGAAAATATAAAACAACTCTCAAACTGCATTTCCAGTCTTCCCCTCCCCCCTTAAGAAATTCTAGTGCTAAAAAATATAGATTTCTTTGAATATATAATATATAATAGATTATATAAAAACATCTAAAGAGGCACACTTGCTGAGTTTATAAACCTTTTCTTCTTCCCTAGGCACAAATCAGCTGGGATGTTGAACTTGGAGAATCCAGAAGGGACCTGTATTTTCTTACCAGCTAATTATCACACTGTACCTACCAACTGCACTGAGACAGAAAAAGGAAAGACAGAGAAACAAAGAGGTGTGGAAATTGCACTTTAGTCTATCAAATCCTAAGCCACCAGGAATCTCATGTCTTAGATGGGATTTCACAGGTAATTTTAGCCCTGATGGAAAAGAACCCATCATAATTCACATTTCTTTTTTTTAAAGTAAAATGTAAAAAAATAAGTAGTGTTGACTTTCTTCTCTTGAGAAAACTAGAGATTTCTGAGGTGTCCTTTGGAGACACAGCAGGCAGTTCCTGGGGTGGTAGGTTCTTCTCCCTGGTGTTTCTGGGAATAACCTTACAATGAAGCTGGTAAAAGTCACCTCTAGGTGGGCATCTCTAGGAAATCTTGTCCCTTGTAAGTCCCAGCTTGGGGAGAGCATCCTACAAAAGCCTTACAAGAGGCGTGCCAGGCTGCTCAGGTTGATGACATCTGCCAGCAAAGAGGCATCGATGTCTTCAAACACCTGGTCGATGTTGACACAGTTGGAGAGGTAATCATTTGTCCCTTCATCCCAGGGATGCTCCAAGAAAGTGGTGGCCATGAGGGTTTCATTAAAGTCCAGGCTGTACTGGTTGGATTCAGTGACAACTTGCTCCTGCCCCTGGGGACACTCCACATGCTGCCCTTGTCCTGTCCAGTCCAGGTCACACGTGACAGGGTTGACGGAAGGTGGGAGCTCCATATCCACCAGAGTGGAGAAGTCTCCATTGAGGTTGGTGTTAAAGACAGTTTCCCAGTCAAAGACACCTTTCAGGGAGCCCAGCTCAGTCTGCTCCTCCTGGGTCATCAGGGCTGAGCTGGGGAGCCGGGCCGCCTTGGCTGTGGGCAGGGGCGAGGGCTGCTTGCGCTTCTGCCCCGCGTTGGTACCCACGGGGCTCCAGCTCTGGCTGCTGGTGCTTTCCTCAAACTCTTTGAGCAGCTGCTGCGATGCCACGTTGGCCTCCAGGAGGTTGTTGGAGCTGCAGGAGGAGGAGGCTGGGCTGCCAACGTGCCGTGCCTCTGTCTGGACTCTCCCAGAGAAGGCCGGGTGGATCTGCACCGGGGACATCCTCCGCTTCTTGTAGGTCCCGTACTTGAGCCGGTTGGCATAGTAGGGGTCCAGCTTCCAAAATCCACCTTTCCCCGGCTCGTCTTTCTGTCGAGGCACCTTGATGAAGGACTTGTTCAAGGACAGGTTGTGCCTGATGGAGTTCTGCAGCCAAAAGAGAAAGAAACCAAGGCTGAATGCTTGTCTGCTGTGGGACCTACCTGTGTGGGGAGGCTGGTGGAGGTTGTCATCAAGGACCTTTGAGAAAACGAAGCAGAACTGACAACATCCAGGCATCCAAGGCTATATGCCCAGCAGGAAGTCCCTCAAACTCCTGAGTTTTCCCCCCTGAGTCTCCAGCAGTTTTCCTGTCTCCTGTCTCATCCAGCCAAAGGCAGCAGGAGCCAAGGGGTTCAAGCTAGGACGTGCCACCCAATGGGAAGATTTTGGGCAGCTCTCCTTGGCTGGAAATTGGGGCCATGGGGCCTTGAGTCATGCAGAGCACTGGGAGAAACTGGCTTGAATTGCTCTAGTCATGGAGCTAGGCTGGAGGAGGTTGGAGACTCCTTTGTGCCAGGGAGGAGGAGGTGGATCTCTACACCCATGTGGCCACGGCCCCTTTACAAGGGGCAACACATGGCAGCACTGTGGGGGGATGGCAATCAGGGCCCTGCTGGCATCCCCCAGTTCAACTGTGCCTATTGTTAGTGTTGAGAGGAAAATATGTGGACAAAACATAGGCACCATGCCTTCCCCCAGCCAGGCTGGCACAAATCAGACGGGAGAACACGGAGAGACACGTGGGCTGTTCCACCCTGCGTGTCCCCAGAGGTGCCTCCTGGCCCAGGGAAACTCAGTGTGAAATCACTGCATCTTCATCAGCCACTGCTCAAATAAGCTGAGGGAAAAAAAAGGAGGGTGGGGGGGGAAGAAAAGGAGGAGTTTCTGCTCCCGTCGAGCTGTTCTGAAACCCTGAATGTGCCTGGAGTGATGTGAATAATCAGAAAGGAAACTCAGTTATTGGGCAAATAACCCAGCGTTGGACTCCACAAAGCCAGGACTGTACTGAGAGATTGGATATGGTAGAGGTGTTTTTTTTTTTTTTAATGTTGCCTGGATATCTTTATGCTTATTCATCCATAATCCGTAGTGCCGAATAGGAAAAACAAGGCTCAATTGCTTAGAGCTGTTGAAAAACATGCACACACACACTCACACACACACAACAAAACCCTCCTCTGGGCTGAAGCTCCTTGGGTTTGTTGGCTCCTCTCCAAAGCACTCAGCTCCCACAGGAATATATCCATCTCCCCCCCAGACTATGGGTGGCATGACCTTTCCAGGCTGTCTTCACGTACGGGAATCGGGATAGGGGATGAGAACACAGCCTCGACAAGAAAGAAAAGGAAAAAAAAAGAAAGGAAAGGGGAAAAAAAGTGAAAAGAAACAAAAGATTTTTTTAAAAAGGGAAGGAAAAAAAAAGAGAAGAAAAAAGAACACAGATATTCCCCCACACAATCCAGGCTGTGGTAACTCCAATTTTACTGTGTAATGAAATTTTACAAGGTTCAGAGACTTGAAAGCTGAATTCTCTGCTGCCCATCTCTCCTCCCCATCCCAAACTTTGCTCAGCCCAGGCTGAATTATTACTCAGCCAGTCAACATATTTATCATTCCTGCCTGCAACGGTCCAGGGTACCCCCTGCATCTCTGCAGAGAGGGATTGAAAACCTTCTTTCTTTTTTTAATGAACACATTTAATTAAAAACGTTGTGAATGCCCAGCCATGAAGTGTGCAGGAAAAAGTCAACTCGTTGGCACCCAGCTCCTGCTTCCAAATCACTTTCATAGGAGTGTGAGAGGGGGACCAAGATGGCCCTGGAGGGGGACCAGGAAAGATTCCCTTCCCCATGATGGCCTTCAAAAGCCACTGGAGACCCACCTGCCTGGAGAGAAGGTCGGCAATGCCTGGGCTTTGCAGTGGGGTTCTCCAGCTTTGCTTGGATGGGCACTGCCATCAGGATTAGTGACACACTGTGGATTTGGGATGGGAATAACCCCAGAGGATGGATGAGCCCCCCAGGGCCCTCCAGCCCTGCCTTATCCTAGAAAACCTCACGTGCCAGAGGTCTCCTCATGTGACAGAGGAGGGCAGTGAGCCAAGGTGGCTGGGAAAAGCCCCTGGGCTTCAGGCTGTCCCCAAAGCTTGTGAGCCTGGGGGCTGTCCCCTCCCCACTGGGGACATGCTCGTGCTAGCTGAGGACAGCAGCCCAAATTAACCCCTCCTGGGCTTCCCTCTGCAGCTCTCACCAGCTCATCCCAGTGATGGAGTCTCCTTGGCCTGTCCCTGGGGCCAGGAGCTCAGTACTCTGCCCTGCTTAGAAAGCAGCAGCATTTCAGCATATCCCAGTGGGACATTGTCCAACAAGTGGCATCTCCATCCCTCCCCCATGCCTGGTGTTCAGCACCCAGGGACACTCGACCTGGCACCTTCTCCACGTGTGCTCAACCCTGAGGGACCCAGGGCCCCATGAGAACTCCAGGAATGGAGGGACTGAGAGGCTTTTGCCATGAAGCCAAGAGGAGTCTCAGATGCCAGGAGCCCAACAAGTACCTCCCTGCTCCCAAAATGGTCCTGGGCTCTCCCCCAGCATGGCTCCTTCCCTCTGCCACCCCTGTGGCCGTGGCATTTGTGCCCAGCCAAGTTCTTTCCCATTCCAGCCCTTCCCACTGGTGGCTGGTGTCACTCTTTTCCCAGTGGGATCCAGCAGCCCTGCAGGATCTTGTCTTGCAGGGTGGAGCTGTGGAAAGCCCAGCTCAGCCCTGCAGGGAGAGTGGCCAAGGCTCCACATCCCCTACCTGCCAGGTGGGATCAGCGTGTCGGAAGTAGCAGAAGTTGTCAGTAATCCACTTGTAGATGGCAGAGAGGGTGATTTTGGGTTTATTGCTGGCTTCCATGGCCATGCAGATGAGGGTGGCGTACGAGTAGGGTGGCTTGACGTGAGGGTTGGTCTTGTAGTCGATGTCCCCTGCCAGATGAGGGGGCACAGCCGGGTCGTGGTGCGTGCTGGAGGAGGAGGTGGAGGAGGAGACGGGCGTGCAGGGGGTGTGGCGTGTGCCCTTGCAGGCCGGGTCAGCGGCCAGGGGCGAGCACGGCGACTCGAAATCAGCCAGGCTGAACAGACTCTCACTCATGGTGTAACAGTCCTGCGGGTCTGAGCCGGAGTATAACTGAGGCAGGCCAGTCTGGGCCACTGTGAAGTCCCTCAGCCACATGAGGTCTGGCAGGCTGTCATCCAGGTCTTCCTCCACGCACTTCAATTTGCCCTTGGCTTTCAGTGCTTGGCCTGGCCACGCCATGCCTCCCTCGGTGCTTCCCAGGCTGCACGTGAACGGGAGGAAGGGATGGGGCAGGTCCTGCAATAGCAACAGGGACAGGGATGAGGTTCCCCAAGGTGCAGTCTCTCTCTGACAGCCAGGCAGGGTCAGCCCTGGGTGCTCCTGGAGCTGCTGGGTGAGACCCACCCCTGGTGTGCTGTGCAGGTGACCTGCAATGCCTGCTCTGAGGGGCTTTAGCACCCTTGAGCCTCGGGGAAATTCCCTCAAACTCCTCCACCTCTGTGTCACCCACTGACCCTGAGGGGCTTTAGCAGCCTTAAACCTCAGGGAAATTCCCTCAAACTCCTACACCTCAGTGTCACCCACCGACCTGCTGCCCAGCAAGCTCTTGGCTGAAAAAGAATTTTTAAAAACCCAACAGAAAGCCCCTCAAACAACCAAAACCCAGCCCTACCAGGCCACAAAGTGAGGTTATTTCTTGGGAACACACATCTCTGGATACATGGCACTCACAGGACTGACTCTCAGCATTCCCCACCAGGACAAAATACTTTAAAGTTTCCCCCCCTCGCAGCCAGCCTCTCTCAGTTTGATTCTAATTCTGCTTTTACTTCCCGTGGTACCCAGAAACAACTCAGGGGTAGGTTGGGGGAACTGGCGGGGTCCCACCCTGAGCACACCCTGAGTAAGAGCGAGCTGGCAGCTTCAAACTCTGGGGAGTCCTGTGTCGAGGATGTCAATTTTAACCCGAAATCCCGAGTGTTTGGGCCAGGAGGGAGCGCCGGGAGGGCGCACACCCAGAGCCGCTCCCCCGCGCACACCCCCCGCCCCGAACGGCGGCTCCGGCCGCGCTGCCCCTCCCGCCCCCCTCCCGCCGCATCCCCTTACCCCGTGCCGGTGTCGGTGTCGCCCCCCGGCAGGCAAAGTTCACGACACAGTAAGAAGCTTCTGGAAAAACGGGAGACGAGAGGGGAAAAAAACACCAAAAAAATTCCAAAAAAAAAAAAAAGAAAAAAGGAGGGGGAAGTAAGAAAAGAAAAGGGGAAAGAGAGGCCCGGTGGGTGCCGGGGTCGCCCGTGCCGGCCGCTGCGGGGTGCCCGGGCCGGGCCGTGCCCGCCGAGCCGCCGTGAGCCGCGGCCGCCCCGGCGCGGGGTTAAGTAGCGGCTCCGGGAGGCTTCGCGCGTTGCCATGGCGACGCCACGCCCCGTAAACATCCTCCGGGCACGCCATTGGCCCGCGCGTTGCCATGGGGACAGGGGCGGGACCCAGGGATGCCGCGGGACGCCGCAGCCCGGGCCGGAGAGATGGGGAGGCTCTGGGGGGACTCTGGGGTGACCTTATCGCGGCTGTTCCGCTCCTGAAGGGAGCCGTGACAAGGCTGGAGAGAGCCCGAAGGGACTGGGAGGCTCTGGGGGGACTCTGGGGGGACTCTGGGGTGACCTTATCGCGGCTGTTCCGCTCCTGAAGGGAGCCGTGACAAGGCTGGAGAGAGCCCCGAGAGACTGGGAGGCTCTGGGGTGACCTTATGGCGGCTTTCCCTCACCTGAAGGGAGCCATGAGAAGGCTGGAGAGGGCTGAGCCCAGCCCGGGAGATAGGAAGGCTCTGAGCTGACCTTATCGCGGCTGTTCCGCTCCTGAAGGGAGACGTGACAAGGCTGGAGAGAGCCCAGAGAGACTGGGAGGCTCTGGGGTGACCTTATCGTGGCTTTTCTGCACCTGAAGGGAGCCATGAGGAGGCTAGAGAGGGACTTTGGGCATGTGGTGATAGGAGAAAGGGGAATGGCTTCAAACCGAAAGAGAGTAGGTTTAGGTTGGATGATAGGACAAAATTCTTGTGAGGGTGGTGGAACAGGTTGCTCAGAGAAGCTGTGGATGGAATAGTTCAAGGCCAGGTTGGATGGAGCTTGGAGCAGCCTGGGTTAGTGGAAGGTGTCCTTGCCTGTAGTGTGGGGGGTTGGAGCAGGATGATCTTTGATATCTGTTCCAACCCAAACCGTTTGTGATTCTATACAAACCTGTGTCCTGCCCCTCCAGGGGCATCCCCAGCCCTTTTCCTGCTACCTGTGCCCTCATCCGCCTTCTTCTGATGCATCCACAGCAGTGAGGGCAAAGCAGAAGAGGGGCTGGCAGACTCCAAAAATAAAGGATGGAGTCTGCCTTCATTTAATTTAAAAAATTACAGCCACAGGCTTCTCTAAGAAATCCCTGCCCCCTAACTGCTGTTCTGATAGCTTTAACAGAGCCAGGGAAGGATCTCTTTGAAGGAGCTGACCATCTGCAAGCCATTCCCCTCAGCTTGTTCAGTCATGGGTTGGACTCGATTATCTCAGAGGCCTTTTCCAACCACATTGATTCTGATTTTGACTCTGATTCAGCTGCAAGTTGCTTCCCCCCCACCATCATCAGCCCCTTCTACTAAGCCCAAATTGCAACCCCCCTTACAGCCCTCCTCACCTTGAAGACTTCAGCTCCCAGCACACAATTTCTTCCCCACCACTGGAGGATTTCTCTTGCATGAGCTCCCAGCTCTTTGTTGCTCCTCTTCTCCCCCAGGAAAAGTTCCCTCTGGGTGTCCTCATCCATCCCAGCAGTGACAGGGCCACCCACACCACACAGCAGGAAGATGCCTCTACGCCAGGCCAGACTCTTCCTGCAGAGGTTTAGTTTGCATTTGCCCTTTCTCCATCCTGGCAGGATTTAGGATAGTTGGGAATGCAGGTTGGGAAGTGTTTTAGGACATTTGGATCAGCTGGGCTGTTTTGGAGGAGGTACTGGGTGACAGGTGAGTGGGTGCTCCCAGCCCAAAAGGGTTTTTACTGACCAAATCCCCCAAACCCCGACTGCCCTCACCCTGACCCCACAAAATGACTCTAGACATTTTGTCGACATAAGATACCCTTTATTAAACATACTCTTAAAATCCAAAACATGCTCAAAGCAAAATCATAAGCAGCAATCTGGTTTCCTTCCTTAAATCCCTGACACGTGGGTCACTGGAACGAGGGGCTGTCACCTTCCACCCCGCGCTGCCTGCCCCTCATCCCGCCTGGGTGGCCGAGGACGGCGCTGATGTCACTCGTGCCCAAATCCCGTCTCTCCTGTGCCACCCAGAGGATGGATTCCTTGCTCACAGCCAGGCAGCAGCGCTGCTCGGCCGCAGCATCCTCCCGGCTCCTCTCCATCGCTCCGAGCGAGGGCAGCGCCTGCCCGCAGCCACCCCGTGCGTTTGTCTGGCTCCAGCAGCCCTGGGGACACCGCTCAGACGAGCCAGAAAACCCTCACGGTCTCTCCCAAGTCCTCCTTGCTCTGCTGGCAGCCACAAGCACAGCTGCAGCCTGTGCCAGGGTGCCAGGCCAGCTGTCCTTGTCCCCTTTGGAACCACGAGGAAGGTTGGGCTTTGGTAGACGAGGTGCCCCTGGAGCACCAGCCCGATTTTCTCTCCCCTGCCCGTGCTGGAGCCTTAGGGAAGAGATGGCTGCCGTGGTTTTCTCAGCTCAGCATGCCAGTGAACCTCCAAAGCTGCTCCTGTGTGCTGCCGTGGCTCCTTAGGGCTGGGTCACCCAGCATGTCCCCAAACGGGGCACAGGGCTTGTCCCCACCACTTGAGCCCTCCCTGCTCTTGCAGCTCCCACCTGGCATGCCACAGGATGGCGTTTTGGAGATGTCACCCCCTGACATCAAACACCCAGCCCTGGGTTCCCAGGGAGGAATTTGGGAGCTGTTGAGCTTAGAGGAGACACAGCCAGTGCAGGGGAGAGAGCAGTGGGATCGCTGGTCCTGGCAGGACCCACACACAGAAAGGCAGAGAAAACACCCCCAGCCCCCCAAAGGGCTCCATCCCTCTCTAGGAGCCACAGTCATCATCAGCACAATTTTTCTGCCATGGGGATGGCACTGGGAACCTGCTTCCACCCTCCAGGGACCCTGCTGTCAGTGCAGGAGCATCTCTGTGCTAAGGTGGCTCTGAAATGCAGCTGTGTCCTGCAAAGAGGGGGAGGTGGCCTTTGCTGCCACAGCCATGTGACAAAACCAGGTGGGGAAAAGGGAGGCTCAGCTTCCCACTCTGGGCTGCCCCAAACAGCTCCAGAGCCTGCTGGATTGGGATGCAGGGTCTGATGCTGCTCCAAGTGATTTCTGACTGTCCCTGATGCTCTCTGGAGTGGAGCCTGGCCTCTGCCAGTGGCCCCACCAGGCCCCAAGGTCTGTGGCTTTGTCCCTCCTGCTTTACTATCCCTGTGTGTCTGCCCTTGGAGCAAAATCCACTTATGCTGCCAGCCCAGTGCTGGCCAGAGGGATGGGGATGGAGATGGGGGCAGCCCCCACACCCTCATCCACCCCTTGCTACAAAGTGTTATGGGGAGGGCAGGATGGGGGGCGTGGGGTGACACTTTTGGCACTTGTTCCAGAGAGAGGGCGCAGCCCAGAGCCCTGAGCCACAGCAGGGTGGAAGACAGAGGATAAATTGTCAATGCCCCAGGGGCTGGTGACTGGGCTGGGGGTAGTACCAGGCCTCCTGCCCACCCCTGCCACCTGCTCCATGCCTCGGGGCCAGGCCCAGGAGCCCAGGTGCTGCTCAGGAGAGCAGAGGGAGGGGCAGCTATGGGGGCAGAGTTACTGCCAGTGCATGAATGGGGGAATGTCCCATGGCATGGGGACAGCCCATGGCAGGGCAGGGGCACAGGGCAGCAAACCTGGAGTGGGGGGGTGACCCCCCATGAAAGTCAGCAGCTCATGCACCAAGGATGCCAATCCCAACACTCCTCCTAGAGCCCACAGCCCTGAACAGTGTCCTCCCATTGTCCCCACCCACCCACATCCCAGAACCCCTTGGTGAGGTGTCCCTGTCCCATCTGCTCCACACTTTGGAGGAGAGGAGGCTGGGGCTGTAAGATGATGGGGGGGGGGGCAGGAGGGACCCCAGCCCATCCCCATTGGGGCTGGAGAATGGAAAGGTGCCAGTGGGGGGCTCCAAAGTAACATGGCTTTCAGCCCCCACACAAAAGTCAAGGTTACCGTCTTTTCTTTTGAAAATCAGTCCTGGTACAGCCGAGGGGTGGCGGTGACGATGCCCAGGGTGCCCAGACACCAGGGTCCCTCTGGGTGGGCAGGGGGCTCCGTGCCCCCCCGAGGCTGAGCCCTCACACGGGCAGGGCGGGTGCTGCCTGCTCCGGGGGGCCCGGGGGGCAGCGGGGCCAGGTCTGCTGCAGCCCCACGTTGTTGTTGGCTGCCTCTGGGCCTGGGGGGAGAAAATGGGGGTTAGGGGCTCCCAAAGCCCACGGGTGCACTGAGCTCGTTTTTCCACGGGGGGTGTGATTTATTCTCCCAAAGCGACACCCACCTCCCCAGCCCCCCGTTGGGTTCTGGCTGCAGTGAAGGCTGGGGCTGCCTGCACTTACCTCTCCAGGCTGGGGAGCCCCTAAAAACCCCAATTTCTCAGGAATGCTGGGGGCCAAACGGGAAGCACAGTGGCTGGGTTTAAATTACCTAAATGAAGGGGGCCACCCATGCCCGGTGAGAGGCCCCATGCGGGTGGGGCTGCAGGTCAGGCACCAAGGGATGTCCCCTGGCCTGGGCAGTGAGGGGGCCACCAGCAATGGTGACAACGCAGTGCCAACCCCCGGGGGGACGGGGCACAGGGCAGATGCAGCTCTGCGGTCTCATGGTCTCACCTATTCCTCAATGTTAATGGGGCAGGAGTCCGGCACGGCGGCTGCGTGGCAGGAGAGACCAGAAGGCACAAGGTGAAGGCGGGAGCGGCGGGGACAGGGGAGGGGACACGGGGACATGCACACGAGCAGCACAGGGGGTGACAGCGGGGCCTGGGGGGTCTCATCCCCTGTGAACGGCTCTGGGAGGGGGCAGGGAGCTGCCACCAGGCACGGGGTGAGGGTCCCCATGCTGGAGCCCCCCGGGGTTTGGTGCCAAGGGGAACCGAGGGGTGACAGGGGTGACATGCTTGTGGTGCGGGGGCAGCTGGGTCCCCCATGCCTCCTCTCCAGCTGCAGGCTGCTGGGGCAGGGGGCTGGCAGAGCTCGGCCCGTGGCTTGTGTCCCACCACCAAACCCATCAGAGGCTGTGTGGTGCCCTTAGGAAGGGGGTGCCCCCCTGAGGCAGCTTGGCTGCACCCTCCAGCGAGGTTAAACCCTGTGCCCAGGGCAGCTCTGAGCTGGAAGGACTGCGTGAGGCCATGCCAAGGCCAAGGGCTGAGGCTTTCTCAGAGGGGGAGCAACAAAATCCTGCTGCTTGCTGATTTATGGGAGGTGACAGCTGCCATTTCGAGTGGCTTTTCATGGCGAGCTCAGGCTGGAGAGCGAGGCATCTTAAGTCTGCAGATCCCGGAGGGAATGGATAATTAAACAGGACCACACGTACATGCACACGGAAATCCCATTAAGGGCTTGATATGGCCTGAGTCACTGCAGTGCTCCAGTGCAGACTCAGCTGTGCTCTGTGCACCCTTGAGAGGGTGCTGAGGAGCAGGGCTGGGCCAGCAGGACATGGTCTGGCCCTGGAGCAGGGTATCAGCCCTGTGCCCACCCACCCCCTACCCCTTGTGCTGCTGGAGGGGTCTCCCTGCTGCCAGCAGCTGGCAGAGCTGCCCTGGGCAGATCAAAATCCATCCAAATCCATCCTGGTGAAACCCAAATCCATCCTGCTGAAACCCAGCTCCCAAATCCATCCTGGTGAAACCCAAATCCATCCTGGTGAAACCCAGCTCCCAAATCCATCCTGGTGAAACCCAACCGGCTGGCCCAGCCCACTGCTCACAGCTCACAGCATCTGTGGCTTTAAACTAGCAGGAGCCCTCAGGGGATTTCAGGTTTTCTACAGCAGCTCCCCAGCTCCCCCACCTCGGTGCCAGCCTTTCTGGCAGATGTCTTTCCCCAGTTTCTCTTTCCAAAGCTGTTTTTCCACCTGCCCCCAGCAGAGGCTGCAGCCAGGGGATGCTCTGAACCCTGGGAACAGCCCCTGCAACCCATGCTCCACAGGATCCACATAAGGACATGGATCTGTAGGTTTTAGTTAAACCTCATGTTCAAAAATCCCTGGGATGAGAACTTTTGCCTCCTCACAAGGCTCTTTCCCACCAGACTGAAATCTGCAGAGATTTCAAAAGAAGCTTTGAGGAACCACGTCCTGCACCTTCATCCATTACAGAGAGGACAAAAACATCATTATCAAATGCCACCAGCTTGGAGATTGTCCAAGAGACTTGATGGACTTGGAGATGTAGACTCTGAACACCACAGATCTCAAGGGCCAGGATGCAGCTGCCTTCCCTACAATCACTGAGTGGGGCTGTCATAAACTGGGTACAAGCCCTGAGAGATTTTATGAATGATACAGCCAAAACAAAACCACAAAACATGGAACACCCCCAGTCTGTCTCACCACGAGCCTAAAGGACTGTAAATTTAAAGACACAATACTGATCTTAACTCCTTGTGATATAGAAGCTGACTGTACTCTAGAGGGCTTAAGGGTGCCCAGCATACCCTCCACAACTGCTGCAAAAACTTCTCCAAGACCTATAAAATCAACTCTGAACATTTCAAGGTCAAGTTGGTTGAGCAACAACAAATATTGTTTAATCCTAGTCCTTAAAGAGATGTAGACCAATGTTCCTGCTATCCAACCAAAACATTCATCTTTTACAGGTACCTCCTCCACTGGGTGGTTTTCCTGGCTAAACCAGAGGCTGTTACCCCACACATCTAACTGATATATTGGGAACTGGAATAGGAGTGTTGAACAATATCAGTCTTGAAACTCTGACTGATCAATTGGGTGCAACCATCAATTATTTGAACACTACAGACCAACCCTTAAGGTCTTCCTTATCTGCTCTTGGAAACACACAGTAATCAGCTTCAAATATCAAAAGTATCCAAATGCTAATGACCAGCTTGGCTGATGGTCTGGAAATTGCTCAAAGCAGTGTCTTCAGCACCCAGCTGTATTCCAGCTCAGTTGTGGTTACACTCCTGCAGTTCTGGGATAATCACTGAATGGGAAAAGGGACTTTTATTCATTGAAATTTGAAAAGGCATTTAAATTCTGGTGGTCTTCAATCAAATTTTCTTATGTCCCCATCACTAGTAAGGTCACAGTGTTTGCCTTAGCAACACAGAATGTTTCTGTATGTACCAAGCACCAAATCCTGGTGGTGGGAATGGGATTAGTTCCATTGGAGCACTGAGCATGGGCTTTTAACAATCACACACATGCATGGCAAACCACTGATGTAGATTGTTGTGTGGTGAGAGAATGACAGGGCTTTATATGTGAAAGTAATATTCTGATAGCCTAAACAGTGGGTTTGGACACAGAACTGTGTCTATCATTTCGAAATGTCTCCTGATAATGACCCTGAATCCATCGCAGTGTCCATAGGATAAGGGGGTGTGTGTCTAAGAACCCCTTGTGACAATTTAACAGTGGGTGACACAAAGATACAGCTTTGTAACCACTTGAATCCATGTATTTGTAAGTGCACCTATAGAGCAGGGTGTGACTTCAGCTACTCCTACCAAAAACTGCACCAAAATGTACGTTAGATGTGTTATATGACATTTTGTCTAAAACCCCTGCTGGAATGGATTGTTAAAAATTGGTTGCAAACTGCTGGAACATCCTGATCTCCACAAACTGGTACAACAGCTCAAAAAGGAAAGTCAGAAAACAATGATCACTGTCCATTATTATGTGGAAAAAATGCCTTGTATCCTACAGTGAGGGAAAAGGGATGGAGAACACCACGTCTGCCATTCCCAGGGACCATGGAGAGCCCCAAAGCCCCCACTCTGCACCTCCTCACCCTCTGCTTTTCCCCACATGTGCCAAGGCTGGATCACCCCTCTCATGCAGCACAGCTGGTGCTGAGGGCTGCAGCTGCTGGACACATGGACAGGTGTGGTGGCCAAAGGATGGAGAGGGCATCCTTGGCTGGGCTCAGCCCAGGGACCAGCTCCTGCATGCCAGCCCAGTGCACACCTCACAGCAGAGCAAGAACTCGACCCTGTGCTGGAGCCATCTGGGCTGCAAAGCTCCCCCTTCCTCATCCTCCCCCCAGCACAACCAAGAGGGATGCAGTCAAGGATGGCTTTGGCTGCTGCCACAGCCAGGGGATGCTTTGCCAGGCCCTCCAGCAAAGCAGAGGTGCTGCTGGGACACCCCCAGCTCCATCCCCAGCCCCCCCAGGCCAGCAGGACTCAGCCAGTGCTGACAGAGGGTGATGGAGAGGACACAGGGCTTGCGTGTTCCTCCCCAAGAGCCTCAGCCGTGTTTCTCCAGCACAGAAACCACCAGGAACAGGCAAGGCAGCAGGAGAGGAGGCTTTCCCAAAGGAGCAGAGGAAAAGAAAGGATTTCTCCTCCCTCCAGTGGGTTTCACCCACCCTCTTGGCTCTCCAGCACCTGCTGCAGGTCTGGGACCTGCCACAAAGTCAGCTGAAGGGGCAAGGCACAGGCAGAGCTGCTTTCAGCTTGTCCACAAATGTATTGACTGAGACCCCATGGAGGGTGTTGTTTTGGCTTTTTGGCTCGTTTCAACACACACAGGCTGAGGAAGCAGAGCCTGCAGGGCTGGGCAGGGTCCCCAGCCCACTGCCCCCTTCCACACAGGGACCAGGGGTGTTCAATACATTTGTCACCTTTGGGCAACTCTGGGCAGGGAAGGGGCACAAGCGTGGGTGGAGGAAACCGTGTTGGCACAGAGCGAACATGAACTTTCACACAGACGGAGGAGCCTGGGGGGAAGGAAGAAAAGAAAGGGATGGAGAGAGGCTGGAAGGAAATAAAAGTGGAAGGAGGGTGGGGGAGAAAGCATGAAGAAATGGGAAAGATGGATGAATGCTGGGGCTATGTAGAAAGATGACCTGGTGGACACACCTCATCTCCCTGAACTTGGGAGGCTGCACAGCTGGACTGCCTGTGGATCACACCCCAACACAAAATACTGCTGTGCCCACCACAAGCCTGTACCAGGCTACAGCTGTGCCACACAACACCTTCCTAAGGAGGACTGGTGCCTCCTGGGGTGCCAGCATTCCCCTGGCCAAGGGACAGAGAATCCCAGCAAAGCAAGTCTGCAGCTGCCTGGGGACATCCCAGTCTGGACAGGCCACCCTGACCCATGGGTGGTGACATGGCTGGTGCTCAGCCCCACAGAGGGATGGCTGGAGGGGTGCAGTGAGGACAACCTGGCAGGAAATGGTGGGAATGATGGTGATGGGAGAGGAGGGATGGATGCAAAGGGCTGGGGAGATGCAGGGAAGAGTGGAACTGTCCCCCCCACCCCAAGTTCATGTTCAGCAGACGGCCACTCACCAGGTAAGCAGGCCTCAGAGCACAGTTTATTGTCCAGCGCTCTCACGTGTGCGATGCCCATGTCATTGTTATTGTCACAGCTCAGACCGAGGAAAGCGCCTGTCCTCGGGCCTGGAAGGGAGTTAAGGCAGTTACCGCCGCGGCCGCCTTTGGCACTGGGGGTGGGACTGCTGGGGCTTTTCCTCTCCCCTCCCCAGCCTCTTTCAAAACAAAAAAATGACACAGGAACGATGCACCGGGGTGGGAGCGGGTGAAGAGTGGACAATAAGGCCTGGGCACGGCCCCGCCTGCTCCTCTCCTCGCAGCGGCCGCATCGGAACAGCAACAATGTGGGCATGAGCATGAACCTGCCCAGGGTTCAGCCAGACCTTCCCTCTGGCACAGCCAGGCTGTGGTGGCACCCATCACCTCCTGCAGGAGCCTCTCCAGCACCAGCGGTGCAGTGAGAGCTGCGTGGATGCCAGCAAGAGGCAGTAGCTGGATGCGTGGGGCAAAAGAAGCCATAGCCAAGCTTTTGCAGGGGCATGGAGGCCTTTGGGGATGAGGGAGGGAACTCTGCTTCTTAGCATCGCTTCTACAAGAGATCAGCCTCCAGGGTCTTAGCTGCATCCATCAGATGCAGGTGACTGAACCTCAGGAGGGATGTTCCCAAATGTGCCAGCAGCCCTGCTGAGAACAGGTGCAGGACTGTGTCCTAAGGAGAGAGGCCATCCTGCTCCCAGAGCTGTTGGGATGCCCATGGATGTCCACCACAGCCTCTGGTTCTCCTATGTGTTATACTTGAGTCTCCCCATCAGCACGAGCCTCTCTGCAGGTCAGAGGCCATGATTTGGGGATGGGTGTTCCATGGGTGTTCCTGCTTTCCAGCTTGGCTGAGCATCCAGGATGGATGGGGAAATAGTTTTGTTGTATTTTTGTTAAAAAGAGACTTGGAAATGTGGGAGGGGGCACACTGTTGGCCTCCCTGTTGCCCAAAAGCAATCCAGGGCAGTTGGTGGCCAATGGCATGGAGGTGACCACCTCTTTCCCTCTTTCCTTGGCTGCCTGAGCTCAAGGGAGAAGGTGAGAGGAGCCCTCAATGTGCATGTGTTGATTTGCAAAAGCACATTGAGGACAGACCAAAGTGAGGGAAGCATCCCAGAGGGAACAGCTCTGCAGCCCCTTCCTATGGGAATCAGCCCAGACACTGATTTCCACTGGGGAGAGTCTCAGAGATCTGAGAAAAGACCTTGGTGAGGGAAAAAAAACACACAGAGAAGCCTCTTCCCATTTGGCTCCTTGGAAAAACCAATGGGTCCTGCTCCATGGAAGAACCAGCCACGGCCTGCTCCATGTCCCACACCGAGCCCTCTGGTCCCCATGGCTGCCTGGCTCCCCCACCCACTGGTGCTCAGCCCCCGTGGGTGTCCCTGATGTTCCTCTGACACCAGGGTCCCCCAGGGCTCTCCCTGATGGCAGTGGGGGAGCTGGGGACAGCACAGCACCTCCCACTCACGGTGACAGTGAGCTGAAAGTGAGGGGACAACCACGACCCAGGGCCTTTTACCGTCTTCCTGTGTGGGAGAGGCGTCCTCGTCCTCCAGCACATCGTTGCCCTGTGGCACAGCGAGAGGCAGCGAGTGTTAGCCCAGGGCTGTGCCAGGGGCTGTTCCCAGGTCCCTCTGGGGGAACATCCCTGGCCCTAGGGGTTCCATGGATCAGGAATGGTGGCACACAGCCCCACTGCCACATCCATCCCCAGGGCAGCCCACAGGGACATGGATGCGTGGGCAGCACATTGCCCAGCCCAGCCCTGGGGGAACGTGGTGCCACTGCCCAGCTTCCCCCTTCATGGGCACAGCTGGGATCCCCCCACAGTGCCAGGTGACACCACAGCTCCCAGTATGGGCACAGCTGGGATCCCCCCACAGCTCCCAGTATGGGCACAGCTGGGATCCCCCCACAGTGCCAGGTGACACCACAGCTCCCAGTATGGGCACAGCTGGGATCCCCCCACAGTGCAGGGTGACACCACAGCTCCCAGTATGGGCACAGCTGGGATCCCCCCACAGTGCCAGGTGACACCACAGCTCCCAGTATGGGCACAGCTGGGATCCCCCCACAGTGCAGGGTGACACCACAGCTCCCAGTATGGGCACAGCTGGGATCCCCCCACAGTGCAGGGTGACACCACAGCTCCCAGTATGGGCACAGCTGGGATCCCCCCACAGTGCAGGGTGACACCCCAGCTCCCAGTATGGGCACAGCTGGGATCTCCCCACAGCTCCCAGTATGGGCACAGCTGGGATCCCCACACAGTGCAGGGTGACATCACAGCTCTGGGCACAGTTGGGATCCCCCCACAGTGCAGGGTGACACCACAGCTCCCAACTCTGGGCACCACTGGGATCCCCCCACAGTGCAGGGTGACACCACAGCTCCCAGTATGGGCACAGCTGGGATCCCCCCACAGTGCAGGGTGACACCACAGCTCCCAGTATGGGCACAGCTGGGATCCCCCCACAGTGCAGGGTGACACCCCAGCTCCCAGTCCCCTGGGGGATGGTTCTGGTTACCTCAGCATCGCGCTCCTCGGCAGAGATGCTGACAAAATTCAGATCCGGGGACTCCACAGGTGTTGACTGTAGGAGGAAGGTGGGAAAGATGGAAGGAAAAGAAAACTAAAATCTGGTGCCCGTGGTTTTGGAGGAGGAGTTAGATCCCATGGGGGAGCTCTCCAAGCTGGGCTCCACCACCAACCGCCAGTCCCCACCTCTCCATCAGAGGCTGTGGCGCTCGCGGCCGCAGGCGAGGGGAGCATGTCCCCCTCCTCTTCCTCCTCCTCCTCCTCTTCCTCCTCCGTGCCAGGGGCGATGTAGGAGCCAGACATGGAGGACACGGTGTCAGTGCTGAGCTGGGAGTGCTGGCTCTGGGAGGAGGCCATGGACATGACGGACTGAGCCAGGCTGCTGCTCACGGGCTCTGGGGGAGAGCAGGGGCTGAGGGGGCCGCTGGACCCCCCCACCCACGGGTGGGAGTCATGGCACAGCACCCACTAATGGAACAGGGGCTAATGAGGAGGAGTGGGGTGCAGAGGAAGGACTGGCTGCACACCACGGAGATGTGATGGGTGCAAAGCTGCCAGCAGCAGGTCCCTAGGACTCACAGCACCCTGGTTTTGGGTCTACAGGGTGACAAAACAGGCATGATCAGTGTCCCTGTGATTCCCATCTCCAGGTGTACAGGTGACAAAGCAGAGGTGACACCCTGGGGCTCCATCCAATGTCCATGGCAGGGTAAGAGGGGGCCATGCCACCCCTCTTTGCATCCCCCCACAGTGTGACAGTCCTGAGATCACCATGCCACTCTCCTGCCCTGCCAGCACCTATGAGCCCCTCCCTGCTGTACCTTCTGGGGACGAGATGGTGGAGGACAGGGGTGTCCCAGTGCACGAGGACTGGTCGATGGCTCCTGATGATGACAGGGTGAGGTTTTCACTCTCTGGGGTTGCACCACATTCCTGGAAACGGAGCCCATGGGAAGGATGGGATGGGGGATATTCAGCATGGATGGCCCATCTCCTCCAGGCATTCTCATGGATGGAGGAAGAGCCAGGAGGGGCGACCCCAGCCAGTCCCTCTGGTCCCAAGCCTCCCCCTAGCCTGCTGCCCCCCCAGTGCCTCAACTCCTTACCAGCAGTAAGGAGTTACACTGATTTTGGACAGTGCTCACCTCCTCATGCCGGGCTGGGGATCTCCTCCTGGCCACCCTCAGCTCTGACTCAGTGCACGACTTCTCATCCTCCTCTTCGGGCAGGATGGAGGAGTTCTGTGAGATGGACCTGGCCAGAGGGGCAAAGCAGAAGGTTTCACCCCTGCCCACATGCCCCAGACCCCCTGAGCACCCCCAGCCTCCCGTACCCACCCCAGGACTCACTTGGAGATGCTTTTCTTCAGCTTGAGCCCCACGGGGCCGCAGTCAGGCAGGCGCTCGAGGGGTGCCAGGGCCCTCAGGGGGGGCAGGGGGCCCTCGCTGCCGTAGGAGGGCAGGGTCCCCACGCCTGGGGGGTCCCCCAGGGCTCGCAGGGGCAGCGCGGCCGGCGACGGCGTCAGGGGCCCATTGAGGGCCTCCAGCAGGGAAACCACCTCGTAACCCGGCGGGATGTGCTCCGAGGACTGCAGGGAGCATTGTCAGGACATATGTTAGGAAAAATCCTTTTGACAGGGTTTTTCCTCCTGAGAAGCTGAGAGGCCTCAGAAATTAAATGTAAACAGTAATTATCTCCTGCTGTGGAATGCAACAGGTGCATCTTTGATTGCTCTCATGTGGTTGTTTTTAATTAATGGCCAATCCCAGTCTAGGTGTTTCAGACTCTCTCTTATTATCATTCCATTCTTTTTCTTTGCTAGCCTTCTGATGAATTCCTTTCTTCTATCCTTTTAGTATAGTTTTAATATATCATTTTCTTTTAATATAATATCTATATCATAAAATAATAAATAAGCCTTCTGAAACATGGAGTCAAGATCCTCATCTCTTCCCTCATCCTGGTACCCCTGCGAACACCACCAGCTTTGGTGACCCCAAGTGAGGAACATTCCCACAGAGGATCATGGGGTGAGGATGTGAGAATCCTTCCTGGGCCATTTTGCTGATCCACTCATTCCCAGTGGAATCAAAATGCCCCAGGAAGAAGCTCAAACCTAGAGAATGGACACTCAGCCAAAAAGCTTTTTCCTCTTTCTTTTTTTTTTTTTTTTTTTGTTTTGTTTTTTTGTTTTTTTGTTTTTTGTTTTTTGTAATATCAACCCTGCATTTTTGCAAGATGAATTTGCAATAAATAAATAATCAAACCCTCTTCTTCAGAGACACACGGATGCCCAAACCTCCCCACGCTGGTGGGAGAGGCCAGGGTCCCACCTTCAGCCAGGCACTGACCGAGTGCTCCTCGGAGTCCGAGGTCTGTGCGGCGATGATGGGGTTGAAGCTGGTGGGCGAGAGCGGGCCCAGCTTTTTCCTCATGGCTCGGATTTGAAGCAAGGCTCGGAAAGCTGGGGCAGCAGGGGAAAAAGGGAGGGGTGAAAACCAGGCATTGAAAGGAGACCTGTCAAAAAATGACACCCCATTTCCCAAGGGGGGCATCCAGTGGGGCTAAAGGAACTGCAGGGCTCGAGGGCGGGAGATGCTGGTCCATTGCTAGAGCACTGGTTGGGCAGCACCTCCAGTGCTGTGTCCAGTTCTGGCCCCTCACTTTAGGAAGGACACTGAGACACTTGAGCACGTCCAGAGGAGGCAACGAGGCTGGAGAGGGGCTTGGAACACAAACCCTGTGAGGAAGCCCTGAGGGAGCTGGGGGTGCTCAGCCTGGAGAAAAGGAGACTCAGGGCTGCCCTCATCACTCTCACAGCTCCTGAAAGGTGCCTGTGCCCAGCTGGGGCTGGGCTCTTTCTCCAGCAGCACTGACAGAACCAGAGCACACAGCCTCAAGCTGCACCAGGGGAAATACAGGCTGGATATTAGGGAAAAGTGTTTTACAGACAGGGGGATAAAGTTCTGGAATGGCTGCCCAGGGAGGTGGTGGAGTCCCCATCCCTGGGTGTGTTTAACAAAGCCTGGATGTGGCACTGGGTGCCAGGGTTTAGTTGAGCTGTTGGGGCTGGGTTGGACTCAGTGATCTTGAAGGTCTCTTCCAACCCAGTGATTCTCTGAATTCTGTGAAAAATGACACCCTGTTTCCCAAGAGGGGCATCCCTAGTGGGGCTACAGGGACTGCAGAACTCAAGGGGGGGGAGATGCCAGCCCATTCCTAAAGATCCCAGCCCATTCCCAGAGCTGCTAGCCCATTCCTAGAGATCCCAGCCCATTCCTAGAGCTGCCAGCCCGTTCCTAGAGATCCCAGCCCGTTCCCAGAGATCCCAGCCCATTCCTAGAGATGCCAGCCCATTCCCAGAGCTGCCAGCCCATTCCCAGAGATCCCAGCCCATTCCTAGAGATCCCAGCCCATTCCTAGAGTTGCCAGCCCATTCCCAGAGATCCCAGCCCATTCCTAGAGATGCCAGCCCATTCCTAGAATTGCCAGCCCATTCCCAGAGATCCCAGCCCATTCCCCATGATGCCAGCCCGTTCCTAGAGACACCAGCCCATTTTTAGAGACACCAGCCCGTTCCCAGAGCTGCCAGCCCGTTTCCCTAGATCCCAGCCCGTTTCCCTAGATCCCACCCCACTCCCCTAGATCCCAACCCATTTCCCCAGATCCCAGCCTGTTCCCAGCGATCCCAGCCCGTTCCCCCAGATCCCAGCCCATTCCCCAGATCCCAGCCCATTCCCCAGATCCCAGCCCGTTTCCCCGGATCCCAGCCCGTTTCCCCCGGATCCCAGCCCGTTCCCCCGGACCGCAGCCCGTTCCCCCGGATCCCAGCCCGTTCCCCCCGGATCCCAGCCCGTTCCCCCGGACCGCAGCCCGTTCCCCCGGATCCCAGCCCGTTCCCCCCGGATCCCAGCCCGTTCCCCCGGATCCCAGCCCATTCCCCTACATCCCAGCCCGTTCCCCCGGATCCCAGCCCATTTCCCCAGATCCCAGTCCGTTTCCCCGGATCCCAGCCCATTTCCCCGGATCCCAGCCCATTCCCCAGATCCCAGCCCGTTCCCAGCCCTCTCCCCGCCTCACGCAGCCGGCAGATGGGGCAGTTGTTGGCCTGGTAGCGCAGGGTGTCGGCGCAGGTGTTGCACAGGCAGAGGTGGCGGCAGGGCAGGATCAGCGTGTCCCGCACGTCCGACAGGCACACCACGCACTCGGCGCTGTTATCGCTCACCTCGTCCTCGGCCACCTGCCCAGGGCACAGAGGGACCTGCTCGGCCTCGGGGGTCCCCAGCCCCCCGTGCTCTAAAACACTGGCTGGGTGCTCAGAGAGAGCTCTGCCTGTGTCCATGGGCTGCCTGCTCTGGAAATGACCCCCTGGGATCTCATTCCTCTCCTCCAGGAGGCTGGGAGATGAGGCCAAAGGAAACAGAAACCCACATTTTCACCCCAATCTTTACATATTAGAGCAGAGCATAATGTTGCCCTGTTCTTCTAAGTTCTTCCAAGCCTTCTGATGTTTACATTCTTGTAATGAACCTTCTCACACACTTTTATATAAATAATTATTGTTTTACATTCTTTTCTAGAAGAGGAGAAATTTGCTGGACTGTTGGTTTGTCCAGTGTCATTGGAGAGGTGGCACTTTCATCCTCCAATCCTCCACTGTCACTTTTAAAAGTCTACAAATGTTGAAGTCAGAAAATAAACTTCCCTTCTTTTTACCTTGGAGTTTCCAGCCTGTGTGTCATTTTATTTCGTGTCCTCTAACAGCAGAAGGCACATCCCATACCTTAAGCCCCATGCTCCCCATCCATCCCATGCCATGAGCCCCATGCTCCCCATCAAAGCCATCTCCCTTCCCCCAAGGAACCACAAAGGATGGGGGAAAAAGCTCAATCCTTCAATTTTCTGCCTCCAGCAGCTTCAATGCCAACACAAAATGTCCCCAGCCAGCACCAGCTCTGTGCTGTGCTGCAAACTCTTGCCCTGAGCACGTTTCAGTGGCCAGGCCTGTGCTAGGGGAGGGGAAGAAGGGATGAGGGAAGGTCCTGGGGTGCAGGCAGGGGGTGCAGGCACACACCTTGGAGTCCTGTGTGTTGTACTTGTTCTCAATGCCGTAGATCTCCTGCAGGAGGTAGCTCACACCATCCACCTGCAATCCCATGGGCAAGGGGTGAGCAGCACAGACACCTTGGGCTCCCAAACCACTGCTTGGGCCAGTCCTCCTCCCACCAGCATCCAGGGGCTCTCTTTGCATTGATAACCTTGAAATTGCAATCCCTGGGAGGCAGGGGAGTGCAATTTCAAGGTTATCAATGCAAAAGGCTGGGAGAGGCTTGGGGCTTTTGGGGCTCCCCAAAACCCCTCAGTGCCTCCCCTGCAGGGTGGGCAGGGACACCTGCACCTCAGGGACACCTCAACACTCACCACTTGCTTCTGCTTGAGGGGCTTCACGCAGAAGGTGCCATCACTGTGCTGGAGGGAGGAAAGAGCACATGGGTGAGCACCCCTGGGCTGCTGTGCTGGAGCACCCACCCACCCTGTGGCTGTCACTGCTCCCTCCCTGCTCCCAACAAGCCCATTTTGCAGGAATTCTGGCTTTTCCTGACAGCCCAGCACCAGGTAGCTGTGGCAGGTCACACACACTGCAAAGCTTGTTGGAGGAAGGAAGATGGAGTTGAGCCCAAATGCCTTAGAAGTGGGTGCTTAAAATGAGGGAACAGTCCCAGGATTTGAGGAGCAGCTCAAAATATCCCCAGCCCAGCAGCACCATCCCGATTCCCAGGGATTCTCCAGGCTCTTGCACCTGGTGGGTGATGGAGGCAGGAGGAGGGGGATGGCCCCAGCTTGGCACTTACCTTCTCAAAGGTGGCCAGCAGCACGTGGCAGTGCCCACTGTGCTCTGCAAGACACAAAGGAGCACTCAGGGCTTGGGGATGTGCAGGGGGACAGGCAGAGCCACGGCAGCAGTGAGGAAAAGCAGGAGGCTCTGCCCAGCTGGCATCACAATGCCAGCAAACCAGGAAAAGCCATCCCAGCAAGGAACGCCCTCCTCACCCTCTCCTTCATCCACCACTGCCTGCACCACCATGGGATAAACCTCGCGGTCCAGGTCGAAGCCCAGCTGGAGAGAGACAGGGGAGGCTTGGTGAGATGGAGCAGAGCTGAGCCTTCCTCCCACCTCCATCTGCACGGGATGAAGTCAGGACCCACCTCCTCCTCGCTCCACTCGGACGGGTCGATGGTGTGGGAGGGCACACAGAACTGCTGGCACACCCCCCGCTTGTAGTGCACCGTCTCTGACTGCAGGCTGTTGTCCCTGGGGGTGTAGCTGTGCCATGGAGACAGCACAGGGTCAGGGCACCTCGGGTGTCCCCACACCCCTCCTGCTCTCCCCAGAGCACAGAGATGCCAGGAAAATGGGAGAGGGAGGGTGTCTGTCACTCCTCCCCTCCCAGATGCCTCTTGGGGCGGAGGTGAGAACTCTAAAATGAGCTAAAATAATCCACAGGGTAAAATAAACACAACACAGGAGGGGACAGGGACAACTCCACAGCCAGCCTGGAGGGGTTTGGGAGGGAGAATTATTTCCCCATGCCTCCATTCTGATCTGAAGGTAAAAAGAGGGAGCAGGATGTGACAGGGAGGGAGGTGGCAGAGCATGGCAAGGATGTGGTGGTGGCACCTGGGGGAAACAAGGAGCCCCCTCCAATCTCAGCACCACCTCAGCTGTTTCCTGTCCTGAAGAGGAAAGATGCTCAGGGGGGAGGCTCCATGTCCATCAGGCAGGGACACACACCAGGCCTGGGGGGACACAGGCCAGGCTGGGGAGGAGACACAGGCCTGTTTGGGGCCCCTCACCTCGCCACCCCGTTGTGGAATTCCTCAGTTGCCTGGTAGTAGATGGTAATGGCCACACGGGCATCCGTGTCGAAGGTGAACTCCACGTTGTAGTGCACCTTGGCTTTGCTCACTTCTTCCCCCGGGGTCTTCACCTCCTCCGAGCACCTGGGCAGCACAGAGGGTCCAGGAGTTGGGCTTTGGGGTGCTCCAGGACTAATCCCCTCGGCACCAAAAGGGGCTGCTGCCCTCCATCAGGGGACACTGAGGCACAACAAGAGCGCTGGGCACGCCCAAGGTCGCGCCTGCAGGCTGGGAAGCGCCGCAGACAGATTTGAGCCCTAATCCCGCATCCCCCGGCCCTGCCGCAATCCCCAGCCTCCCTCCAGCAAAGCCTTTGGAAGGTGGGGGAGGAAGAAGAAGCAAAGCACTTCAAAGGCAGCGCTAAAATCCTTTAATCCTGCGGCACTGCCTGTGCTGGCATGCGGGAATGAGAGGGGAAGGGCAGGAGCTCATCCTCCATCGTGCGGGAATGAGAGCAGGGGAAGGGCAGGGGCTCATCCTCCATCCTGAATGACAGCAGCCCCGGGACAGGAGGGGAAGGCAGAGGCTCATCCTCCATCGTGCGGGAATGAGAGCAGGGGAAGGGCAGGGGAAGAGCAGGGGCTCATCCTCCATCCTGAATGAGAGCAGGGGAAGGGCAGCAGCTCATCCTCCATCCTGCTGGAATGAGAGCAGCCCCGGGAGCCAGGAGGGGAAGGACAGAGGCTCATCCTCCATCCCGCTGGAATGAGAGCAACCCCGGGACAGGAGGGGAAGGACAGAGGCTCATCCTTCATCCCGCTGGAATGAGAGCAGCCCCGGGACAGGAGGGGAAGGACAGAGGCTCATCCTCACCCTGCTGGAATGAGAGCAGCCCCGTGCCCGCATCCCTGGGAGCGCCCAGCAGGACCCTCCCTGCCCGCGGGGACTCACTTGACGAGGCGCAGGGTGTCCTTGCGGATGTTGATTAAACTCCTGAGGGTCTTCACGGGTTCCTGAGGAGGTGGAGCAGCATAAGGGAACTAGGACGAGAGAGACACCGCTGAAGGCAGAGCACACGCGGGCACTGCCGTGGCTCTGGGCCCCTCAGTGACCCCAATGCCCTACAGAGGGAATTGGGGTGGCCTGGGCATCCTGATGGGTGCTGAGCACCTGGAGCCCCTGCTGGCACTTGGGTACCAGGCAGCACAATGACAGGGACATCCCTTCACAAACAGCCCAGGACAGCAGGGACAGTTTCACTGGGGAGGGGACACAGAGGGGCTGTTCCTTGTCCCTTTGGCTGGAGGCTGAAGGGGATGGGGGGCACAGGGCAGCAGCTGCTGATGGATTTTTATGCTGCTGGATGAGGCTGGGCAGAGCTGAGGCTCCCTCCCTGCCCACCAGCCAAGAAAAAACAGGCACAAGTGTCCCTGTTTCCTCCCTGTGGTGGATGGGATTTTGGGTGGTGGAATCCTGCCAGCCCCGTGCCCAGAGCAGAGAGCCAGCAAAGTGTCTGGGCAGGAGCAAGCAGGCGGCAGCATCCCTCCTCCAAGGTGACATTGTCCTTCCCAGTCCTTTCTGTGCACTTGACAGGGGCTACAGGGCTCCTGGGGAGAGGGGACACAGGGGTGGCACCATGGGGACACCCTCTCTGTGGCACTGCAGTCACCCAGAGGAGACTGAGGGCAGTGGGGAAGGGGTGCAGGAGCCACCTCCCCCTCTCCATCTCCATCTCCCAGGTAGGTTTAGCTGCAGGAGGGATCAGCCCTGACTAAGGCCCAGCTTGCTGGCAAGCTGCCACCATGTGCCAAGGGACAGCCAGAGGCAGGAGGGTGTCAGGTGCCATCAGGGATGGCAGATGGTCCAAGAGTCTCAACTGCTGCCTTTGGAGAGGGAATAGTGTCCCACTGTCCCTCACCAGGGCACCCACTGCACCCCAGTACCGAGGGGACAAGGGCAGGTGGCCCTTGGGGATGCCCTGCAGGAGCTCAGCTGCCCATTTCCCATGTCCCATGTCCCATGTTCCTGGTGCTCTCACATGGGACAACCATCATCACCTAAGCTGTCCTCAAAGCCATCCCCACCTTTCCTGTGCCCAAAGCCATTCCCACCTTTCCTGTCCCCAAAGCCATCCCCACCTTTCCTGTCCCCAAAGCCATCCCCACCTTTCCTGTGCCCAAAGCCCTGCAGAGCAGGGATGGCACTGGGGGACCCGTGCTGGGCTCAGGGGGACAGGCTGGGACAGGCAGCTGCAGAGCCCCCCAGTGCAGGCACAGCTCTGTCCCATCCCTGCTCCACCATCCCACAGCTCTGATCCCACAGGTGCCACTGAAGGCAGACTAAAGCCTGGGCTGGGCACAGCATGGCTGATGGCATCAGAGGCTTTGGACATGAATTGCCAGCACTGTGGAACTGCCTCCCACTGCTCTCACCCTCTGCAGGAGGGAAAAGGGCAGCAGAGTCATTAAACTGCTGTTAACGAACTTTTGTATGAGTCACTAAACATGCACCTGCAGAACTGAGCACCTGCAGAGTCACCCATTGCAGCTGGAGGGGAGAGAGTGGGAACATGCTCCAGGCTGAAGCTGAGCCTGTCATGACAGGTTGTGCCATGTCGTGATACATCCCCTGCTATTCAAACTAATGGAGTCACCCAAAATTGCTCGTTTGCACCACTCAAACCATACCCAAACCAGCCCATGGGTGCACCCCCCCTCCTGCTGCAGCAGCCAGGGGTGGGTGACAGAGGAGGGAAGGGGGGTGACAGGGGCTGTGGGGCTGGGCAGGATGGGGAAGTGCCACAGGCAAATTGTGCTCTGCAGAAACCACTTCGGGCTCTTTCACTCCCACGTGTGAAAAGCACTTTTTGGGGGTGGTTGGATTTCTTTTTAAATTGAATTTTACATGCCAGATTTTGCATGTCAGAAAGGGACTCTTCAGAGGACGTTTTGCATCTCCTCACTTTCAATCAAGCTGAAACACAACAGAAAAAACTGGGTAACGGTTGTGGTGCAGTTAAGAATGTCATCCACGTGCCTACAGCAACATTTGGTGCAGACCAGCTTTTGCTGAAGTGAAATAAAAACCACCCTCAAAAGTCTGTCTTGGGGTTTTTCTACAAACAAACCCCAGCAGCTTTGCGTGGGCAGGGAAACCCAGTGGCACATTTCAACAGTTCCTGGCTTCCCCTGTGCTCCCCAGTGCCTCCAGCAGCTGCTCTGCTCCTCAGCCCCTGCATGGTGGCAGCTACTTAAACCTGCAACGCCCTTCCCAGCCCCTTGGGAACCTGTTCCCAGCTGGAAAATCCAGATTATCATGTACCCATGGAGGGGAGAGCCTGCACAGCCTCTGGCTGCCCTGCACATCCCTGTGGCAGCAGCACTGTTCATAGCTCAGACAAACTGCTCTGCTCACAGAGCACTTGGGACACCATTCTTCCAAGATCACCTGGCCCTTGATCCCCAAGGAAGCCAAAACTGATCCCCCACCAAAAAGCAGTGGCCATCTTTAATGCTTCCAGCCCCACCAGGGCTCTCCCAGAAGGTCAGAAAGCAAAAATAGCACAAAGAAGCATCAGGACAGCACTTGGAGGCAGCATCAGAGAGACCCAAGTGTTGCCTGGACACAGGCTGGGACCAGAACCAACACAGATCCCCCAGCTCCTTCCTGAGCCCCCAAAACTGGCCTGAGTCAAAGTGCAGCCCCAGAACTGCCCCTGCTCCCCAGGAAGATGGGATCTTGGATCTTGGTCACAGCTCTGCAGCCCAGAGCCATCGGTAATTAAACCAGAGCAGGACAATTTAGCTCGTGATGCTGGATTAATTCTCTCTGCTGTTTCCAAGCTGTTCCTTTGCCTTCCCTGCTGCTCTGCTGACATGGGAACTGCTCACTGGGCAGTTTAGAGGCTTTTACTGTAATCAAGAGGATTTCTCAACACTTGCTGCTGGAAGAGACCCTGAGTGCTGATGTCTCATTTTCAGGGAAGCGCAGAGGAGGGAGGGAAAGGCTCTGCCTTTGGCCCCCACTGTTCCTGGGCTTTGTGGGTGCTCCTGACCACTGCTCTGCCTGGATCCCTGCTCTGGCACAGCCCAGGGCTGGACACTTCCCTGCTGAAGGACCACATGATGCTACCAAAGCCAGTTCCAAGGAGGAAACAGGAACTTTACTGGCAGCAGGCAATGCTTGAGAGCTGGGCCAAAGCACAGGCAAGTTTATCTCAACTTAACAGAAAAGCTTTGGTGACTTTTAAAACCTTGCCCTGAATCTTTTGAATATTTAACCCCCAAACTCCTCCAGCCAGTGCTGATGAATTGTCCCACTGCTGAGAGGCACCTGGATGAGGGGGGACATCACTCCCAGCCTGAGCCCCTGCTCTCATTTCCTCCCTTTCCAAAGGCAGCAAGCACAAAACCCATCTCCAGGAGCCTGGAGTGTAGGGACCCCCCTCCAGCCGGGTTCCCTTGTGCCCTGAGACCAGCTGGAGCTGGCAGCACCCAGCAGTGCAAAACCCATCCATGCCCCTCCCAGCCCCAACCTACCCCCAGTCTTTTCACTATTTATTTTATTTTATTTTATTTTATTTTATTTTATTTTATTTTATTTTATTTTATATTTCTTCCCATTCCTTGTTAGAGCTTGGGGAGTAATTTCAGCTGCTCCTGTCCAAGCTGCTCTACTCCCCTGAACCACACCAGGGCCTCTGTGTTGTGTGCCCTCCTGTCTGGGATATGGCTCCTGGATGAGATGGGGAAGGCAAGAGAAAACTCAGCTCTTGGAGAGGGAATGAGAAAGAAGTTGGATTAAATCAGCCCAATTCCCCTTCACCACCAGTCCTGGATAGGAGACAGGCTGCAGCAGTGTGAAAAATGCATATTTTATGATTGGCTTTTTGCAAATATTAAAATGAATATTATATGTGTTGTGTTAGAAAGTAATGCTGTATTAATTCTCTTAAGCACTGTGTTAAATATAGTTTTAGGTTATAAAGAATGTTAAAATAGAAACGATGCTATGTAGGATACTTTTTTTAAAGAAAGGACTCACAGTGAGATAGCAGCCACAAGACATCTAAATCTTTCAGAGAAAAAAAATTTATTGCTCCATTATCAGGAGAAACGAACTTCTTCCTGCCTTGAAGGCGCTGTTAGGTTTCAGAGGAAGAAGTTGATGATGACCAGACAGAATCCTGTGTTTGAATGGAATTTATACATCATGTATGAAGTGTATGAATATGCAAAAGGCTGAAGTTTTTAAGGGTTAATCCTTTGTTAATGTGGGTCCTTTTTTCGGGCTCGTGCTGCCCAGAAAAAGGTACCCGGACATCCGTAACTCTTTGTATTTATTGTCTCATATTGTCCTAATTCAATTTGTCCATATTATTATTACTCTAGTTGTATTACTATTTTTTATAACCATTTTATTACTATTAAACTTTTAAAATTTAAAAAAAAAGTGATTGGCGTTTTTCACAAGCAGGAACCCAGCCCTCGTATGAGCCATCCGAGAATCCACTCCAGGTGGGCTTGGCAGGCTCTGCCCGTGGAGGGGACACCCAGCAGCCCGTGGAGGGGACACCCAGCAGCGTGTCCTGCACACCCCCTGTCACACACAGCCTGTCCCACCCCCCCTGTCACACACAGCCTGTCCCGCACAGCCCCTGTCACACCCTCTGTCACACTCAGCCTGTCCCACCCGCCCTGTCACACTCAGCCTGTCCCATCCCCTGTCACACTCAGCCTGTCCCGCACATCCCCTGTCACACACAGCCTGTCCCATCCCCTGTCACACTCAGCCTGTCCCACCCCCGTCACACTCAGCCTGTCCCATCCCCTGTCACACTCAGCCTGTCCCACCCCCCCTGTCACACTCAGCCTGTCCCGCACATCCCCTGTCACACTCAGCCTGTCCCACATATCCCCTGTCACACTCAGCCTGTCCCACCCCTTGTCACATTCAGCCTGTCCCGGGTCGGACTGGGCCGTGCCGGTGCCCGGTTCCCCCCGGTACCCACCACCACGGGCCGGTTGCCCAGGAAGTTGAGGTCGCTGTTCTCGCCGAACAGGTACCCCTCGGGGTGCGTGGAGTCGAACTTCTCCCCGCCCATGATGAAGTGGTTGGCGAAGTAACTCCCTGAAACGAGAGCACAGCGAGCGCCTGAGCCGAGGGGAGCGGCACCAAGCCACCGGATCGATGGCTCGGAGGTGACTTTGTCGCCAGGGTCACCTTGCTGGGAGCCTTTCTGGTTGAGCTCACACACTGAGGCTGCCGAGGACCACGGTCCCTGCCTGCCCTCCCCTCCTCCTGCATCCCACCCGCTCCAGCACCACGCTCCGAGCCGGGATGGGGAGAGGCGCAGGGCTCCAGCCCTCGGGGCTGCTCAATCCCTGGGATTTAACAGCGCCTGCTCCCCTTTCCCTGTCTGGGAAATCCCTGCGAGCCCCAGCACAGCCTGAGCCACTCAAGGTCACCCTGACCTTCAGCCATCCCCGCCCTGGCAGGAGTGGATGGATCCTGGTGAGGAGGGAGAGGAGATGGCCCCTGGGGCAGCAGAGCAGCGCTAATCCTGGCCATAAACAGCAGCTCATGCCCCGAAGGGGGCAGGAGAGGCAGGGGCACAGCCTGACCTGCAGAGAGCCCCGGAGGAGCCGGGCTGGCTCCCACATCCCGGGGATGCTGCCGGGAAGGGCAGCCCGGAGCCAGATACAGCCCAGGGCTGCTCCTGCCCTGATGGCACAGACCTCGTGTGTGTCCCCAGCCAGACACTGCCCAGGCCGGCTGCAGCTGCCACCAGGAGCGTGGGCAGAGCGCAACTGACCCAAGCTCTGTCAGTTCTCAGCCTGCAGCCTTCCCTAGGAAGGGCTCACCTGTGCCAGGCAGGATTTTGGGGTCCTGTAGACCCTCCAGGAGGCCAGCACCTGCCCTGCAGAGTGCTCCACGTTGCCCTGGATTCTTTCTTCCAGAGTTCCTTCTTCCTTCACAGAGCCAAAACACCGGAATGTCCCAGCCCCGAGCTGGGAGCAGCCCCCAGGTCAAGCACTTCTCCACTCCAGGGGAGTTTCCTCCCAGCCCAGCCAGGAGACAACTGGTGCCTGCTCCTTGTCTGTGAGAGCTGGGCTGTGTGGGGAAAGCATGTTGTGGCACAGGAACTGGCCAGGCAGGAGGGCTGGGACTTGAGGTGGCAAAAAAGGGAAAGGGAAAGGTGGACAGGGATGGGGCAGCAGCAAGGGGTGAGGAGAGGCACCAGGAGTCAGTCAGACATGGACAGTCCTGCATCCTGACAGGAATGCCACTGGGGCAGAGTTTAGCTTATAAAAACCCCAAACCCATCAGCACGGATCCATCTGCACCCCCGTGGGGGACACCCCAAAACCAAACATTTGGGGACCACAGATAAAGGAGCTTAAACCTGGGCTGCAGCTCTGCAATCAGCTTCCAACAGAGGCAGGGCCTGTCCAGGGCTGGATCAGGCTTTAATCCTGCACTGAAACCCAAAAGGGAGCCCCAAGCCCAAGGGGAGGAGTAGGGGGGATGCAACTCTGGGCCAGGAGGGAGGAGTGGGGTCACACAGCTCTGCCCCAGCCCCGTGGCACAGCCATGCCTGGATGCAGCCAGCCCCTGAGCAAACGTCAACCATCAATTATTGATGCCTGCTGCTTTCAGGTCCCATTTTCCATCTACATAATTTATAGGCAGCTCGCCTGGAAGGACTCGGCCAGGTGGAAAAAAAAAGCCTCAAGAGCAAAGTGCCTTCAGAGCTGCCTGCAACAGGACAGCCAGGGGAGAACGGGGCCATCCAGAGCTCTTCCTGACACTGACTTGGAGCAAGAGCAGGAGATGGCAAAAAAATTACATTTAAACATGGAGAAAAGCCACCCGAGCAGTGAGGAAAAGCTGGAAAATAGAGCACAGGCTCTCTGATTTGCCCAGCCAGGGTTTAGTGCGTGCTGGGGGCTCCCACAGGATGGGCAGAGCAGGTGAGGACCACGCTGCCATCACCCAGTCTCCCTGCCAGGGGTTGGGAGCATCCCTGGCTGCTGCAGGCTCCCAGCACATCCCCCAGAGGACAACTCCCTCTTGACAGCAGAGGCAGAACCAGCCCTATGCTCCCTCCCAGGAAGGGTCCTCCTTGCTGTTAAACAAGAGGCTTGAGTGGTGCCAGGCTTTTCCAGGGAAGCACCAGCACAGGAAAGCCCAGGGCATGGGCAGGAGCCTGTCAGTGACTCCCTGGACATGGCTGGGGGCAGGGAAGCACCTTCCCAGCCACAGCCACCTTATCATGGGCTGACTGTAAATCAACGCCCACTCCCAGGGAAGGAGAGTCTGTCAAGGACAGCCTCATCTCAGGAAGGGCTGCACAGAGCAGCTGCTGGAAAGCAGGAATAAACCCCAATTGCCTCAGGCTCCTGGCAAAAAAAATGTCTGTGTGTCCTGCACATCTGCTGGCCCCAGCACACACCTGGCAGCAGCTGTCAGCTCCTTTTCCCCATGAGTGGAAGCGATGCCACCTTGTCCAGCTGACAGAGAAGGGTGAGGACCCTCGTGTGTGACAGGTCCTGCACTGTGCCCCAGTCACCACTGCCCTGCTGGGCTCTGGTACTGCAGCCTCTGTCTCTCCAAAGCTGCTAAACCAGAAAAGCTCATTCCCAGCTCATCCACACACCCCTGGTGAGGGAAGCACAGGTTTGCACAGCCTGCAGCCAGCCCAGACAGTGGCATGGCTTGGTGCTGGCACAGGGACACCCTGCGGCCACGGGTGCCAGCACAGGGTGCTGGGATGGGCTGGGTAAAGGCTCTGGGTGCTTCTGCCCCTGGGCAGCCCATTATTTAATTCTGTGCTCTAAAGCAGGCAGCCAGAGCCAGCAGCAGCCAGAGCTGAGGACAAACCCTGCCACGGCACTGCTGTGTCAGCCCTCGGCTGCCACGGCTCTGCACCACCTGGGCTTGTGCCCCACGACTGGGGGGCATTGCTGCAGGAATCCTTGTGCTCCTGCCCCTGCTCACAGCCCCATGTGCCCCAGGGGAGTTCGGTGCCAGCCTCAGCTGGGGACAGGGGCTGAAAGCTGGGGACTTGCCCCAAAAGCCAGGCCAGTAGCCAGGTAGTGAGCTCCATCTACAGCCCCCACTGGCTCTGCCTCCCAGTGGCAGCCACGGGAGTAAATCTCAGCCTTTGTTTCAAAAATTATGGTTTAACTCCAAAATTATGGTTTAACTAATCCTATTGACACTGTCTGGAGGGGATGGGACCCCCAGGATGAGGAGATGTTAAATAGGGACCAGACACAGCTGTGCTATTCCCACAGGCTGCACTGGCCATCCTGAGAGAGCCCAACAGCCAAAGCCACATCCACAGAGAGAGGAAAATGCCCCAAGATCCCATGAGATTCCCCTCCAGGACCACATTTCCAAGCCAGTGGCTGTTTCCAGGTGGCTTTTGAGGTGAGGGAAGTGCTGCTGCCACAGCAGAATCAGCTCCTCTGGCCAGCACGTCCTCCCTCAGCTGCCGGCAGCGCTGGAGGCAAATCCCATCGGATTAAAGGCAAACCAGCCATAATCTCCCAGGGTCACCAGCCTGCCCTTGTCCCTGTGCAGATGGCTGTGTCACCTGTGTCACTCCTGCCCTTCTCCCAGGGACCCTGGGCAGCAGCAGGACATCCCCCCCAGAGCCAGCAGTGGGACCAGGCCAGCTGAGCACAGCCAGGAGCCCCAGGCTCTCCCTGAAAGCTGGAGTTGGGTATCAGCCTGGTGGCCTCTGCAGCTGAGATGAGTTTGCAAGTGCTCAGCTGGGTGCACTAGCACCCTCCACCCCTTCGTATCCAGATATTTCAAGAGCCCCTTAATAAGACAGGGTCCCAAGGGAAAAACTTGTAATGCACAGAGACACCAACCCTATAAAGAGCAATCCCATGGATGGGCTGGTCCAGCCTCACCTGGCATCAAAGTGACAGAGGCCTTGAAACCATGTAAAAAGGGGAGCTGGGGGAGCCCTGCAGGAGGCCAGGCTGTCAGGGATCAGCCATCTCCAGCCAGCTGTGCAACCTATTTTAGATTAAAATTAAAAAAAAAAAAAAAGGCAAGCACAGCTTTTCAGGACAAGCACAGGGTTTGTGTTGGCTGTAATTCTTGCTAAGGAGGTCTTTAGTTGTAATTAGTGAATAATTTGCCACAGCACTAACGATCTGAGCGTTTACCTTATCCTATTAACTACCAAAATAGTTACCTATTAGTAATATTCAGTGCTGCAAGGATCCTGTGCAGTCTCCTCGCACGCACACACGGTGCTCCGGGGCATCACCCACCGGGGCCGGTATTTTTGCGGCTCTGAAGCGCTGCCCACCCGAGGGCTGGACCCCATCACCCCTCCCTCCCCCTCGGACACCCGCTCAGCCCGGCCCTTGCAGGGAAAAGTGAGGCACGGAGGGGAGGGACGGATTTTCCAAGGTCACGCACAAGGTTTGAGCCAGGGCCGGACTGGGGAGCGGGAGATGAATCACAGCGAGCCTCGAGGCGCGGAGAGGAGCCGGGAAGGCTCCCCAGGGCAGGGGCTGGGGTGCTACGATGGGGCAGAGCCCTGGGAAGGAGGGATCCCCTCCAATCCCTCCCACCCCAGCCTCCCTCATCCTCCCGGGAATTTAAACCCAGGATTTTCCCGAGCAGCCAGCACCGGAGTAACCGACTATAAAAAGCAACTCCGGAGCCCGGTGCCGCAGACCACGGCTACAGAAATAATCATGACAATAATGTCATTAAAGTCGCGTCAACTCAGCCAAGTTTGGGAAGCGGGGTGTACGGGCAGAGGGGCTCCTGGAGAGGGGGGACCCCCATCCCTCCGCGCCGAACTCACGCAGGGTGCCCGCACCAGACCCAGATTTTCAGGGTGCCCCCCCCGTGCGTCAGGGTTTGTTTTGGGGTGCGCAGGGTCACCCCGCCCGGAGCAAGGTCGTGCCCGGTGCCTGCCCGACTCGCTCCCCTCTTTCCCTCCCCATCGGCGGCACCGGGACCCGAGACACCCCGGGGGCTCACCGGATTTCGGGGGGTATCTGTAGACGGAATTAGCGGGGATATCCACTTCCTCCACCCCTGCGTTCTGCCGGCTGGTCAGAGCCCCCATGGCCGGGCCGGGCTCAGCGGCCGGGGGGCGCCGGGGACTCCTCCCGCCCGGGACCGGGACGGGGGCCGGGAGCGGGGCTGGCGGCGGCCCCCGCCCGCAGCATCCTCCGCTCGCTCCGCTCTGCGCCGCGCCCGGCGCCGCCTCCGCGGCACCGCGGGGCTGCGACACTCGGGGCGGGGCCGCCATCGGCCGGCACGCCCCGGCCCGGCCCGGCCCGGCCCGGCTCGGCGGCGAGCTGAGGGGACGCGAGGCTGCCGGGATCGCCGTGCCCAGTGTCCCCCGCCCACCCAGCGGCGTCCCCGTCAGGTGCCACTTACCTGTCCCCCCGCGGTGGCACACGCGTGCCCACAGTGCCGCCCGCCTGCCATCCCCCGTGTCACGCAGTCGCCTCCAGTAGCGCTCAGTGGCCTCCTCGCCATCATCCGTCACCCTCAGGCACCCCGCAGTGACTTCTGTCCACCACGGCCCACCCTCCTCCCATCCTCGCCCCCAGCCCCCCAGCTGGGTGGCACCGAGCAGCAACCCCAGCTCAGGGACCCCCGGGGCAAACTGGCCATGGTCCCCTGGCCCTGTACCCCCTTGCTGCCGGCGTGTCCCCTGGGAGGAGGAGACATCCCCGCTTTTCCCGACAGGTTATAGGGGAAGGATTTTGTGCAGTTGTTGGCACAGGGACTGATCCCCTCCAGCAGCGTTTTAGGGGCTCACAGCCCTGGGGGGGGGGGCGGGTTAGAGCCCCCCCAGGGCACATCTCCATCATCATCCCCATCCTGCCCTCCCAGCTCCGCTCCACACCCGGAGCACTTCTGGAAGCAAGGAGCTGCCTGTCCGCTCCAGTGCACCCTGACAGATTCCCCCAGTTCCCCCAGAGTTAAATTACTGGGAAGCACTGGCCACCCCCTCATTTCCCACTTAGAGCCGGAGAGGAAGGATGGACCCTCTGACCGCTCACTTAAACCCGCCGGTGATTAATTAGTCCGGCAGCGCCAGTTAGTGGAGCATCACATGATTTTGATTTGAGTTGATAACACGAGTGCTATAAATATCCAACGGGAGATGTGCAGGGAGGCGGATCAGCTGCCCTGATGGCCTCGGCTGCTCAGTGGTGACGAGCAAAGGCCGTCCCTGGGGCTCCCCCCTTTATCCCTTCCCTGCAGAGGGACACATGGACCCCCCTCCCAGCTGCTTCCTACCCACACAGCCCCAGAGGCAGCTGAGAAGGGCCAAATCACAGAACAGCCTGGGGTGGCTTTGTATCCTGTTTGTCAGCCTGTCACTGTCACACCGGGACCCACATTCCCAGCAGTGACACCATGGCCGTGCTGCTGGATGTCACACCTGGGCTGGCTGCCAGCGGGAGCACCGGCTGAAGAACAGGATTTTAAGACTCCATGATCTTAAAGGTCTTTTCCGACCCAAATGGCTCTCAGAGGAGCTGAGGGCAGCATCCACACCTGGAGCCTGCTCCAGCTCTGGGCGCTGGCGCCCAGCTGGGAGCCCCAAGACCCCAGGAACAGATCCCTGCTCACCCCAACACACATTTTTGGGGATCCTGCTCTACCCATGGATAATTTAAAGCTCTAGCACAGCTCAGCATTGCTGAGCTGCCAGCCCCACTCCCCTGCCTCGCTCCAGCCAGCGCCGACAGCGGGAAACTGGGAGAGGGAGCCAGCACATTTCATTAGCGGCACCGAGCACACTGCCGGGCTTTAGTGCAGATAATAATTCAAAGTTCTCCCCGTGCAGATCCATAACCCGGCAGTCATTACACGCAGAGCTGCTGCCTGCATGCACGGCTCGTGGGTTTTTTTTCCCAGATTACTGCAGCAGAGGATTTTGTAGGACAGTGCCGCAGTGGAGCGCGGGAGCGTGGCAGGAGCCGGGATACGGCAGCTTCGAGGGCAGGGTCCCTCCCAGTTCTGCCCGGCTGCACCTCCCAGCACACGTAAAGCCAGGAGAAACCCCAGCAGGGCTGGACCAGAGGTGGAACCCAGAGAAAATGCAACGTTTGAACCCAAAATGCACGTGGCTGTGGGATGTGGGATGTGTGTGTGACACAGAGAGGGTCCTGCCTCCTTGTGCTGAGAGGGAAACTGAGTCACGGTAGAGCACAGCGGTTAATGCTACAACAGGAGGGTGTGCAGCCCACCCACAGCAGAAAAGGTTTGTCTTTACAGCCAGTCCACTCCCAGTTCCCCCAGCAGGAACCGGGGAAGCAGCAGCTCCTCTCCTCCTGGGCTGGCTCTGCTCTGTGCACTGGGGACGGGGTGACCCTTCCTTGGTGCCTGCCCAGGGCTCCACAGCTCCTGCCTGGGGAGGTGCTGGGGGCTCCCCGGTCAGCAGGGGTGACCCCCAGGGTCCCAGGGCGGCACATCTGGAAGAGCATCTCAGCATGGAGAGGTGACAGTGAATCCTACCCCAAAAAGGAGTCATTTTGAAGAACTCAGTCCTGTTGATTTCTCCAAGTGTCACCAGCACTACTCTGTCACAGCTTTGGCTGCCAAGGGCCCATGAGCTGCATTCCCAAGGGTTTCCCAGGCAGGCCCTACCCCAGGCCAGCTGCTCCCAGCTCGAAGCCGTGCTGTGCCCATGGGTGGCTTTGGCAAGCAGGAGGTTCTGAGAGCTCGCCTGGGCTGCCTGCAGAGCCAGGTGGGTCTGGGATCCCTGCGCCTGCAATTGCTCCTCTCACATCTCCACCTGCCTCCAGGCTGGTTTTGCTCCAAAAAGACACAGCTACCAAAATCTTACTGGGCAAGCAGGACCCTCCACACCCGTTGCTGAACCCCAGTGGAGGGAACCCCCTGAATATCCCAGGAGGATTCCAGCCTGGGCATTGCTGGACTTCACTTTCATGGGACCAGCAGGACTCTGCAGAAGCCCCCCAGAGGCCCTCACTGCTGGGGCCAACCAGCTGCAGATGCAGCTTGGAGTTTCCACTGCTCTGCCTCCTCATTCCCTCTTCCCTGGCCAGCTGCTCACCACCACCACATCCAAACCTCCAGTGGCTCATCCCAGATCAACCTATTTTCACACCATGCATTTGCAAAGTCCTTTCTTTATTTATTTGGGGTTTAAATGACAATTTTCCTTTTTTAATCAAAACACTTCAAGGCACAAATTGCACAAGTCCCACTCAGATCACCCAAACCTGGTATGGGGAGAGCACAGAAGGGGAGAGCTCATCCTTGCAGGCTGAGGCTGGAGCTGAGAGTCATCAGGATTTTAACCTTTAACAAAAAATCCCAATCCCCCCGTTCCCCCAAAGTGGGAGCTGCCCTGAGCCCCACAGCCTTTACATGGGAGGGGCATGGGGATGAAGAGGATGGGTCCCTGCCCCTGTCATCAGGTTAAGGTCCCATGGCCAGGGGAAACTGCTCCCAGAGGGGAGAGCCAAGGCAGGGGGTTAAGGGGGGATCCCCGGAGGGGGCAACAGGGTCCCCAGGAAGGAGGAGATGAGTGCTAGGAGAGCTTTGCTGAAGGAAGAGAGGAGCCCTGCTAAGGGAATGAGGGGTGAGCAGGGGGTTAAGGTGCAGCCCCTGCAGGAGTGGCCCTCCCAACAGGGATATCCAGGGACGGGTGGAACCCCTCCCTCGCTGTGACCCCCCCAACAGTGAATCCCCCTCTGCATGGCCCCTCTCAATGAACCTCCCAAACGGAACCGCCATCAATAACCCCTAAACAGCTCCTCCCAAAGAACTGAACCCCCTCAATAACCCCTAAACAGCTCCTCCCAATGAACTGACCCCTTCCTCAATAACCCCTAAACAGCTCCTCCCAATGAACTGACCCCTTCCTCAATAACCCCTAAACAGCTCCTCCCAATGAACTGACCCCCTCAATAACCCCTAAACAGCTCCTCCCAATGAACTGACCCCCTCCTCAATAACCCCCCAAACATCTCCCCTCAGTGACCTGATCCTCCCTCAATAACCCCTAAACAGCTCCCCTCAATGAACTCCCCCCAAACTGAGGCCCCTAAGCAGCTCCTCCCAATGAGTGCCCCCCAAACCGAGCCCCCTTCAATAACCCCTAAGCAGCTCCTCCCAATGAACTGACCCCCCCAATAACCCCTAAGCAGCTCCTCTCAATGAATGCCCCCCAAACTGAGCCCCCGTCTATAAACCCCAAACACCTCCCCTCAATGAGCGCCCCCAACCCGAGCCCGTCCTCAATGAACGTGACGTCACCAACGCCTCACGATAAAACCCCCGCACAGCCAATCAGCGCCCGTTCTCCCTTTCTCCCTCCCGCCTGGTCCCGCCTGCGCCATCCCCAGCCAATCGCGGCGCCGCCTGCAGCCAAAACACAGGCGGTGGCCAATGGGGAGGCGCCGGGGCAGCTGGAAGGTTCGAAGCCGGCGGTGGGCGGGGCCGGCGGCGCGGCGGCGCCCAATCGTGGCGCGGGGGCGGGGCTGGCGGCGCCCCCCCCCGGTCCCCCCGGTGGAGCGCGGCGGGCGCGGCGGGCGCGGGGCGCTCCGGGCGGTGCGGGCCGGGCCGGGCCGGGGCCGCCCCGCCATGTCCGTCAACATGGAGGAGCTGCGGCACCAGGTGATGATCAACCAGTTCGTGCTGGCGGCGGGCTGCGCCGCCGACCAGGCCAAGCAGCTGCTGCAGGCGGCACACTGGCAGTTCGAGGTACGGGCCGGGCCGCCGGCGTACGGATCGGGATAACCCACGCGAGAACCGGGACGCCCCAGGTCCCGATCCGCTGCCCGCCTGGCCGCAGAGCCGCGGGGCGGAAGGCGGTGGGGGTGGCGGCAGGCCTGTGCGGCCCCGGCCCCCCGACACGCGTGGCCGGTTCTGGGGGGGTCCTGCCCGCCCCCCCGGCACCCACGGCGGGGCGGGGGGCGCCTCGGCCCCGGGCTCCGCCGGGTCTATTTATACCCGGGCCGAAACCCGAGCTGCGGCCCAGCGGGCCGGCCCCTCCCTCGCGCTCCGGGCTGGGGATGGGGGCGCCGCGGGGACGGAGGCGGGGGTGTAAACACCGGGTCGGGGGTGTAAACACGGGGTTTGGGGTGTAAACACGGA